GTAGGGTTTTGAATGCTGTTTTTGATTTATTTGACTTTTTCAATTTCGTTATCCATTTTTGGATATGATCGGCAAAGTTTCGTTCATTCATATGTAAAGTCAAAAACAATATTCATAATCCACTTTTTTTCCTTAAGTAAACTTGCAAAGCAGATAAAAATACGCTTATATTATGATTTTAAAGTTTCTATTAATCTTTCTTTATAAAAAATTAATCTAATTAAAATTACACCGAATCACGTGATTTGCCCCCGCTTTAGACGACCTCCTTGTTAGGAAATTTTATGTTACATGATTGAAAACTAAATTTAGAAAAACTGGTTTTTTGTGTAACGGGTATCACCAAAAATGGAAATGATTGACATACTCGTGCATCACGTGACAACAATTAAATACCTAATCATAAATTCCGGCTGAAATTAAACTTTGCTAACAATGCTAAATTTTCATAATGCATTGTGCGATCCTTGTACAAGGCTTGTACAAGGTATTTTAAATCTGAAAATATATAGTACAATATTTTTAACAATACATTTTTAATATTAATTTATTCACAATCACTTGTAAAATATATAATTTTGATACATTTTTCAACGAATCTTATAATTTTTTACAATGTTTTCACAAGATTTTACTTATGTATATATTGTACAAAATATTGTATAATGAATTTTACAATTAATTATTTATAACATAATCTCTCTAGTGTAGAATCTCTACTATTCCAAATGTTTCCCAGAACCATCAATCAAACTTTTTCCTATTCTTTTATAAAAAAAATGTTCAGATTTTGACTTAAAACGAACTTGCATAAATGATTAATGATTACGAAAAAAAATTATTCAGATCTTACTCAAAACGAAAACTGATAGGATGAGCGAAGAGCGGCCTATTTATATAAAATTATATATCACGTGTATGTGATATAATCCGCAGTTCGATGACTTTAACTTTTTTTAAACTTTTTACTTCTTTTACAACTTTTTTTTTTTTCTTTTACACTTTTTTTTTTCTTTTCACTTTTTTTTTTCTTTTACACTTTTTTTTTTAAAAAAAAACATTTTTTACTTTTTTTTATT